CAGGTTTATGTGTTACCTGAGCTGGTTTCTATGGAAATAAAATATTGCAGAATTAGACTATGGACTAATTTCTGATTCAAGGGAATTAAATCAGTATTTCAGTTGACTGAACATGGAGAATAGCCACCTTAGAATTGGCAATGAAGATACTGAAGTGGTGGATAGCTTCCACCTTTTAGGATCAACCAATAAAGGAGTAAGCACTCAAGAAATACGCAACAGACTAGTACTTTGTAGATCAGCCATGAAAGTGTTGGAAAAGATATTGAAATGTTGTGCGTAGCTATCTCTACAAAGCTTAGAATCATGCAAACCTTAGTATTCCCTGTGATACTCCAGGGAAGCATAAGTTGGATTTTGAAAAATAAGATTTTTTTCAGAATAGGAAGAATACTGGTGTTTTTGAAGTTTGGTGTTAGAGAAGATTTCTGAGGACACTGCAGACAGTAAAGAAAACACACAGATCATTGCACACGTGATCAGGCTCAAATTATCCTACTTTGGGTATATCATGTGATGACCTAGCTCTTAGGAACAGGATTTAATGCTGGGAAAGGTGTAAGGTAAGTGAAGGTGACTTGCAACAATGTGAATGGACTCAAGGTACGGTGGCAATGGGCACATTATTGAAAGACCTGAAAGAACAGGTTAGGAACAGACCGTCAGAGAAGATCTATGTGGTTGCTAAGAGTTGATACTGATTTGATGACACATCATCAATCAGTTGCTTAACCACTATCACTAGTTGGTTCAATTCTTCTCTAGAGGCTTGGTAAGTATAGGAATTAGGTTGTGGCAGCATTCAATACACAGGCTGCTCCTATCTGGTCGTAGCTCTGTAGAAACAGAAAATGGCCTAAAACATGGACAGGCAGAAATTTGACCAGGCATTCCTTCGTTTGTCCCAGTGTCAATTCACTTATGGGTCTGCTTCAAAACAAGGGAATCTTATAAAAGCTGTAATCTGCTTCTACATTAGCTTCCAAGATGGTGTTCAATCTGCAAATGTCAACCTTCATTTTGCTTTCTGGAAAAAATACCCCCCGTGTGTCTACACATTTGTATTTTCCAAGATACCAACAGACTTTGTTTACATGCAACCTCCATTGCAGGAGCCCCATTACCACTAAGCAGCTCGCTATCTTGTTTCAGCCAATCTTCCTTTTATTAAAAGGAAAGGTGTGTGGGAAAAACTAAGATTGCAACTTCATCTGCCTTGCTCTGCCCTATAATTTCTAAGCATCTCCCTAATTCACCTGAAAGAACAGAAAAAAGTATGGAAGGGGGTGTGGGGTGTGGTTGAGTTATAAATATTTAGGATGTTGATTAGGACTTAATGTCAGCAATCTGAAGGCTATTTTTAAAATGTGCCATAAAAGAACTATGTTCCCTTTAGCACAAACAACATTTCATTGTTGGAAAGGGGCAATCTCAATTTTGCCCTTTTTATCAGGTGGAGAGATATACAACGAGACAGGGTAGGAAAGGGGATCACATTTCCCTCTCAAAATATGGGAATCCTTTGTGAAGGAAGAATTTTTGTTTTGTCCTGAGGACAAGCTTATTCAAAGAGCCTTGTAGTGATTTTATTGTCTTCCTGGAGCTGGAGCTGGAATCCAATCTACGAATCAAGAGTGTTAAAGAGGGATTCGTCTGGGGGAAATGCATGGCATTCAGTAATGGGACTGTGTTTGTCAACAGATACAGATTGTGTGTTGTCAACAGAGCTATAGGATGATTCCCTTCGGTCTTCATTTAGATACAAGCTCCTACTTTTAAGGGTAGTACATTTTTATTTTATTTACTTCTTTTGCTATTTGAGTTTGGGTTGCTATATTTGAACTGCACTGAAAACAAATTATAGCACTCTAGAGAAAAAGCTGGCTATTACCTATTTTTTTTCCTACAAAATCAGATTCTAGCCTCTTAAGGTGATAAAAATAAGTGGAACAAAATGAAGTACTTGGGGAAATTTCGGGATCTATCTGGAAGAAACCGCAGAGCTGAATTTTTAAGCACTAACATTTTCTAAAAAATTAGATTTTTTCCAATACAATAGAGGTATAAAAATTAAAATAATTAAAATAAGAAAAAGTTAAAAACATGAAATGAAGCAACATAGAATTATGGTTTATATTAATTGCCATCTTATTCTTTCCTTTTCTTCTCTGACCCTGTTTAATCCCTCAATGCATAAAACATCAATTCAGTCTTTTCTTCTTTCAACAAAAATACTGTAAGTTTCTAATCTGAGGACCAACACTGAGGAGCTACAAAACAAGAGTGCCCTGCAGAATTTCTTGTTTCCATCATCAAAAAAAGGCAGGAGAAACTACAAATATTAAGCAAGTGTGCACAGATGGGCTTCCAGCTACTGTATATATGGCAGATCAGGAGGTTTCTTTTTGGTTTAGTTAGAGCACATCTAATTGTATACAAATGTTTCCAGCTGCCCATATTCCCTTTGCTGAGACTTTGCAAATCTTCAGCGATTCAGAATAACAAAAGTAAATTTAAGTAATGGAATAGAGTTTGTGTGACATATTTCAGATCCATGTCCCTAAAAAATGTCAGTTTTTGGCCCCGAGTACATACAATCACCTCACTGTGTCAAGACACAGAAAGAAGAGATTCTCAGAATACAACCCTATAGCTTCTCCTGAACTCCATGCAATTGATATTTTTAAGGTGTTCATAATCAGTAGCAATTAATCACCAACTGCATTTGCTTTCCCCAGATGGCTCACTTATTAAACTCAATGGGGCTTATTTCAAAGTAAACACGCACTAGACTGTTTTTACAGTCCAATGTTATATTTCTATCTACAATCCTGTCTCTTTTTTTAATTGTCACACAAAATAGTCTTTCAAATTTACTTCTCCTGATCAATTCTAAACACTAGATTTTAGTTGTGTGTGTTCCCATGCACCCTTCATATTCATCATCTGGGACAACAACATATAAATGTATACATCCGACATATTTTTTAAAAATAGACATGCTTTCTAAGTAACAAAGCAGTGGTACCGAGCGATAATTGTGGAATTAATTGTAGTATTTTTAATCACACCATATCTTCTTACATCACATAATTGCCCACTTTTGTACAATGATGATGAAATAATAAAATTAACCAAATACTCTATCTGCATCTTTATTCATTCATTCATAATTTCATTCCTGAGGTAGAAGCACCCTTTCAGCCCCTTGTTTTCCTTCTTACTGATAAAACAACCAATTACAAACAATGCCAGAACATTCACAGCCTAAAAAAATGAAAAAAACCCAAAATCCTTCCATTGGGTTTTGCAAAAAAGAAAAAGAAAAAGAAAAAGAAAAGGTAGGGCACAGAATTTCCCCTTCCAGAGATTTCTCTATGGTTACCTGAGCAGCCACTCTATCTTCCTCCGAATCAGAGTCATCACTTGAATCTTCACTACTATCGTCGCTTCGCTGGGCTTTCTGAGGCGATTCCTTTGGAGGCTGGGGCTTCACTGTACATACACTTTGAGCTGCGGGAGTTGCTTTGGGGGCTGAAAGCAATCACGATACAGAAAAGTGAGAACTCGGCTACTTCTAAAAGGCTGCACAATTAGAAGCCACAGCCTCACTTCCTTCTTTGTCTTTGCTGACTTTCACCAAGAGCCCCAAAGATGCATCAATTCTCAGTGGTTTTCTCTCAAATGTTTGACCAGGCAGCTCAAGCAATGATGATTTCAAGACATGATACATTCTGATATCTGCATTTTCTTGGCATGCTATGAACTGCCTTTTTGAAATACATTTTTATATCACAGGCAGTTTAGAAATATATTGATCCTTAGCTTACAACCACAAATTTGTGTTTTTGCTAAGCAAAACATTTGTTAAGTGAATTTTGCCCCATTTTATGATGTTTTTACCACAGTTGTTAAGTGAATCACAGCTGTTGTTAAATTAATAACAGGGTTGTTAAGTGAAGCTGGCTTCCCCATTGACTTTGCCTGTCAGAAGATTACAAAAGATGTTCACATGACCCCGGGATACTGCAACAGTCATAAATATGAGCCAATTGCCACGTGTCTGAATTTTGAACATGTGACGATGGGGGATGTTACAATGGTTGTAAGTGTGAAAAATGATCATAAGTCACTTTTCTCAGTACTGTTGTAACTTCAAATTGTCACTAAATAAACTGTTGTAAGTTGAGGACTACCTGTATCAGAACAAAGGTTAATGGGCTGGAGAGGGATGACACAATCTTGAAGAGATTCCCCTCTGCCCTACCCCCCCCCCCCCCCACACAAAACCACACATCATAGGAACAGCCATCGTGTTCCTCAAAAAATTATTTTGTGAAACAATCCACAATTTCCCAAAAAAACAACACCAAAATCAGTCACGCTGTTTTTTCCCCCCCAAGCCAGCTTTGGGACAAAAAGGCTAGAACTGTGTGTAATTTCAATTTACAGCATTGACATTCAATAAATCTTGTTAGCAATTACTTGGTTATGACAGACAAGGTATTTTCCTCATTGTGAAGCCAGTTACCATAAGAGCGGGGATGACTATGGATGCTGCAAGTTTTTCAATAAACAAATTTGAGGTGGTCCTAGATTTACAATCATTTGTTTAGTGACCGTTTACATGGCACTGAAACAAGTGACTTAGGACTGGGTTTTTGTTTTTTTCATATTTACCATTGTTGCAGCCTCTCCTTGGTCACATGATCAAAATTTCAGTGCTTGGCAACTGGTATTTATTTATGAAAGGTGCACTGTCCCAGGGTCACATGATTTAACCTTCCCCACAGGCTTCCAACAAACAGTGAATGGGAGAAGCCAAATTCGCTTAACAATCTGATTCACTTAACAATGGCAATGATTCATTTAACAACTGCAGCAAAAAGGTTGCAAAAAAAATGGGATACATTTTACAACTGTCTTGCTCATCAGAAATTTTGGGCTCAGTTTTGAGTTGTAAGTCAAGAAGTAACTTGTACATAGCACTATAACAATTAAAAAAGCTAACTGCAGGAAGATGCCTTTAGTTTAAAATTTCAAAATACACACCACTGAAAACTGCTGCAGTTCTAAAAGCTGTGTGCCAAAACTACTACACAAAGGAACTGGTGAAGAGAGACTTTAAGCTACAAGAAAATCAGATTTGTTTAAAAAATATTCTAAAGATGTTTTGAATTCCTCAGTCAATTGTTTTAAAGCACCACGTGACATCATCTCTCATAGTTATTAACAACTCAAAACACTGGTTACAGCTGTAACATATTTTTCATAGATTTCTGGGAGAACAAATTTATGAGATCTGTCAACTGCTGTAGCACTGATAGAAACACTGAATTTGCTAAACTCTGTATTTCTTTAGACAAAACCACACAAGAAACTATTTTTGAGATACACTTGAGAAAAAAATGTATGTTTTCAGATGTTTGTAAAATAAGGCACAGGTTTAAAAGAAGAATTTGCACAGAAAAGTAACAATGAGAACAGTTAAAGTTAAAAATATTTCTGAAGTTTATATTAAGAAAGGGAAGTTTTGTACAAAATCTGTGTACAATATGGTGGGGAAAATTGCAAATAAAAGTAGAAACTTTATCTTTAATGCAGTTTAAAAAAATCTGTACCCTTTCAGTCTAACAGATGAAAATACTGCCTACAGATGATGGAGGAAAATAAGCCAAAAAACGGTGATGGTTTAAATCACCAAACAACTATGCTTGGCCTTGCTAGGGCTTTTTCATAAGAAAAAAGAACCATTAAAATTAACCAGATTAAGAGGTATCAACTGCTTTCTGTTGTGAATAATCCAGAATCATGAATCTGTTTATTACTGGTTTTCTTTCATCTTTAGAAAAACTCATCGTTCAGAAATTAATCAGGGTTTGGCAACACCACAAAGGACAAGAAGATCCAATTTCCTTTAAAATAAAGGGAGCATCGGTTAATTGATGAAACACACTGAAACTTAGGCTAAAGGCAAAATTGAAGATGCTAACATATCTCTTGTGTCAGTTTTGAAATAACTGGCATCAGTGCTAGCACTTCAGAATGCATTTTGTGCATCCCCTTGTTATTTCCGTCCTTTCCCTGACAAGCAGCTAAGCAAATAAATTAACAGAGCTGCTGAAAATAAAAGGTTTTTCCCCTGAGCACCAACAAGACTGGAGCCTTCTCTTACTAGATGGAGCTGGCAGTTTGCATGGTGTAAGGTCAGTTTCATCCTCACTGTCAGACGAGGTGCTGCTTTCATTCTGTGCTTCCTTCTCCTTCAAAACACCTGGTACAGCTTTGGGTAAGATCCCAGGCTGATTGGCCTGGTTTTGTCTGGCCTTCACAGAAGGCTGTGGAGTTGACAATCTCTGCACCGCGAGGGAAAAAACAAGCAGACATACATGTAAAATTCATTGATTTCTCATACACCTTTTCTTCCCTCTTTAATTTCTAACAGAATCAAAACAATGTATTTCCAATAGCAATGACCACAACTGGGACTGCCGTGGCTAAGTGCAACGCTTTGCTTAACAACTGCTTCACTTAGTGATGGAAATTTCTGGTCCCAATTATGAATTGTAACCCGAGGATTACCTGCACAGCCTGAAACAGATACAAAAACTTAATCTGCCTGCCAGGCTTCTTAAATATCTTTAAATGTCAGATTTTTTTTTCTTGTAACATTTTATTTACAGTAAAATACATTTCATAAAATAGAGTAGTGGCCATATTTACAACTCAAGACAAGGTATAAAAAAGACATGGAAGAATTTGGAATTGAGGCAAAACTGAACCAATTAGATGAAATATTGGAGGGAATGGATGAAAAATTAATTTCTAAAATGTATAATTACTTGTTGGAATTCAAAATGGTGGAAGAAATAGTTAAAGGCCCAATGATTCCATGGGCAAGGAATATAGGGCACAACATTAATTTGGAAGACTGGGAAAAAAATTGAAACAAAATTACAAAATAGGCTGTCTATAAAGAAAATCAATATAAAATGTGTGTGTTACCAGTGGTATCTGGCACCCTCAAGGTTAGCTAACATGTACCCAAACTTAAGTCCGATTTGCTGGAAATGTAAGCAAATGAGGGGTACCTTCTTCCACACTTGGTGGCTCTGCCCAAAGTAAAAAATACTGAAAAAAAATTAGATTGTGGATAAAAGAAATCACAAGTATCCAACTAAAATTTAACGCTGAAATATTTTTGTTAGGAATGTTAAGAGGGGATTATGCAAAAGAAATGAAATATTTAATTCTCCATATAATCACGGCGGCAAGAATTGCGTTGGCACATTGTTGGAAGGGCGACCAAATGCCAACAAATAATTTGATTATTCAGAAAGTTCTTGACTGCGCTGAAATGGACCTACTTACACAAAAACTTAGGGATAAGGAAGACTCAAGATATACTACAGTTTGGGAAAAATGGTACAAGTGGATTAAGGAGAAAAAAACCAGGGAATTAAAAGATAAGGATTTCAAAAATGGAGTGATTAGATTAAGAACATCTACCAAAAATAGGAAATGAATAGTAGTAAAATTGTTTTCAATAAAAGATCACATAGAAACATATATGTTTTTTATGTTTGTTATGTATCTGTATATTGATTTTGTTTGCAAAGAACTGTTGTATTCTATGTAATGTACATAGTGTTCTTTTTAATCTTTAATAAAGTTCATTTTTAATTAAAAAAAATACATTTCATAGTATTTTATAAATGTCTCAGCTTTGTATAGTTTTTAGTCTGTTAAGATTGTAAGCTGCCCAGAGTTACTTCGTGGGCTGCCAATGAAATTTATAAACAAACAACAAATGAATGATTAACATTTAAATTGGTTAACTTGTAGATCAACTGTTTCTTGAATGACACACAACAAATTCCCGATTTGAAATCCTTTGGTCTTGCTAGTACTAAAGGTGGACCATGCCCACGGTATAAACATTACAGCTTCATGGAGATGTATTTGCAATTGAGTTTATTTTGGAAAGAAGAAGGGGGATAAAGCACTACTTTTACAAAAGAAAACTGGCCATTCAATTGCCCTAGAAGGAAGCCACGCAGCGGTGAGCAATACAAGCTACAGTTGCCTGAATTACACCAGACTTCAAAGCCCCCCAGAGGAAGCTAAATCAAAGCTGTCTTTTCAAAAAACTCAGCATCTGGTTTGTTGTATTTTTAAGAACTCTGGGGAGAATAACAAAGAAATGAGGCAAGAAAAGAAATCATTTTCTGAGCAGCTTTCATCTGTTAAACAGGACAATACCGAGGCTGCTAGATCTCTAACAGCAGTTCTTTCTTTCTTATTCCTCTGTGTGACAACAATGAATATTGTAAGACGGTGTAAAATATTGTGCAAAACACATCTGACAATCGCTGGCGAGAAAAGGCATGTTCTTTTAAAAGGGGAAAGGAGTTATCTAAATGGATCTTTTTCTTTCTTTCTTCCCCCTTTGTAAGTCTTCAATTCCAATAATTTGGATGTTTGTGTTATTACTAGTCAGTTGATATGCACAATTTTGTTATTTTTGGCCTATTTTTTTCCCAAATCAATGTAACTACCCTAACTGTGCTAACTGAACGGATATGTTGGGATGACGTAGGTGCCTGCTTTTATACAAATCTTTCATTCATAATATGTATTTTCTCCTTATCTTTCAAAAGAGTTTGAAGACCTGGCTCTGCCGGCTCCCATGGTGCTCACAGTGGAGTAACCAGAGGAGACATATGTGAACCATTCGGAAAGGAACGTATCCATTTACCTTCTATTGGGAAGGGTACAAACGCAGTGCTATGGAGAATGACAGACTTATCTCGTTGAAGGGAAAAGTCAGGAAGGTGCAGCAAGAGATAGAGACCAAAATTTTACAGATGGAAGACGGGTCAGATAATAGGTATACCGTATACTAGGCTTCCAAGACGCCAATGGAGAGAGCTAGAACTATATTGCTTTAAGATGTAGGGTACACACATTGGCAATTGACTTCAATTGAAGTCCACAAGTCATTAAACGGCCATTGTTCCTCACCTCTGCTCTAGAGGAAGCCTGCTTAAAAATCACTGACATGAGAGCTAAAAGACCCATGGACCAGAAGCCTGCCATATTTTTTTGTCATAGTCTATGGAATATAAAAGTAGTTTTCACCCCTTTTTATATTTTTAGGAAGTCATTCAAAACCTGACGATTCTGATGTCCAGTTGTGGAAAGAGGGGATGACCATTTTATCTGAATTATGACATTTTTGGCTTGTTACTATATTTTAGCAGGTTACTATTCATGGTTTTTTTTAACACCATCCAAAGAAGCTACCCTGGCAAGCTGTAAAAGCCTTATTAAAAATAAGCAAATCATCTTACAATGGCTGGCTCATGCAAAAACAAAGACCACCATTCCTAGAGGAAAAACACCAACCTTCTGACTTATGGGAACCGGCAAAGTCTCACTGTCACTCTCAGATGATGAGTCGCTGCTGTCTGAGCTCTGGGCTTCTTTTGCAGGAGGCTTTGATAACCTGGTCGTGGGAGTCTTCTGAGGGGATTTTGATGGAATTGAAGCAGAAACTGCCTTCTTTAATGGACTTGATGCTGCGTTTTTCTCGGTTGTTTTTAAGGCCTGAGGATTATTTTTTTTTAGACAATTTTAACTATGGTTAGATATTAGAAAAATGGTATAAATTAGAGTTCATGAACTTGAATAAGACATTCTGGTGTAATAAATCAAAACAAAGGCTTGGGAAATAGGTTAAATTGTTCTGAAACTGTGTCAGAACAATTTCTTTCCCCTTAACTTTATTTACAAGTACACAATATTAGACAATTTAAATAAAGAAAAATAACTATTTTGTGTATGTATACATCTACACAATTTTCCAAATGCTTCAAGAAGTTCAAGGGTAAGAACAGAATTATACTATATATACTGTACATGCATAATAAAGGGTACCAAACAGAACTGGTATTTAAAAGTGACCCTGAATTGCCTGTTTAGCATTCATATTGTTTTATTTTGTTATACTCTCCAGAAATGCTACCCTGAAGGGCTGTAAATGTCTTATTAAAAAAAAGGAAATCATCTTATAATGGCTAGTTCATGCAAAAAACAAAGACCACCTTTCCCAGAGTTTTGAAGGGAAAACACCAACCTTCTGACCTATGGGAAGCGGCGGAATCTCACTATCACTCTCAGATGACGAGTCACTGCTGTCTGAGCTCTGGACGTCTTTTGAAGGGGGTGGTGGTTTTGATAAGCTGGTCGTGGCGGCCTTCTGCGTGGATTTTGAAGGAACAGAAGCAGAAACTGTCTTCTTTAATGGGCTTGATGCTGCATTTTTTGCTGTTGTTTTGAAGGCCTGAGGATTTTTTTGAGATAATTTTAACTATTGTTAAGAGATGAGAGAAATGGTATAAAGTCAAAGTTCCTGAACCTGTCCAAGACATCCTGGTGTAATAGATCTTGAGAAGGCTTGGGAAGCATATTAAATTGTTCTGAAGCCGTGTCAACTTCTTTTCCCTGAACTTCATTTTTAAATACAGAGCAATGTAAAAATTTAAATAAAAATGTAACTTCTTGGTGTATGTATTTTGTGTGTATATACCTACAGAATACACATACTGTATGGGCAGGGTAAAAGATAATCTGGTAAATTCACAGCCTGAAAACAGCCATAAGGGTGACATCTTTGTTCAGCAGCAAGTGAAAAAAATTATCTTTGTCGGCACTGTCTGTAATCATAAAGTCTGGTGAAATTTACAGACGGTTATGTTAACTAAACACTTGGCTACTTTATATTCCAATTTCAATCTATCATACCAAAGTGAGAACCTTGTTGTCACTGTGACATTCTTATCTCTCCAAATTATAAATCAGCTCTCACAGCTCTTTAGATTCCATAGGAATAGTTGGTAATGAGATAGTATTTGCCCAATAATTCCTATGCATCAGATTTCCAGACACTTGATTGGACTGACCAGTTTCAAGCTGTTTTCCTTTCTTACATTTTGTATCTATTGACTTCAGATGTTGGAATCAGTGTCTTGGCCAACTTTACTAATGCATCTCACCTGTGATACTGAAGCAGGTGCTTTAGTCTCGTTATCCGATGAGTCAGTAGTTTCTGAAGTATCTGTTGATTCTGGGCTTCTGTTTGCATTTCCAGATTTTGCACTGGCTGGCTTTGCTGCTGTTACCTTTACTGTATTTCTTGCACAAGAGCCAGGAGTGACTGGCAACCTGTTCAGCAGTGAGCTACTGATTGGGGATTTTTGCACAGCTGCTTTAATCTAGAAGGAAAGATAAAAAAATGTTGCTTGTATCGCAGGGCGGAGTGAATAGCATAGATATTTGCTACTAAAGGTGCATATTCTAGCTCTGGAGTCTTCAAACTTGACAGCTTTAAGACTTGTGGACTTCAACTCCCAGAATTCCCCCTCCAGTCATGTTAGCTCAGGAATTCTGGGAGTTGAAGTCCACAAGTCTTAAATTTGCCAATTTTGAAGACCCTTGCTCTAGCTAATGCATTGGAATAGTCAAGTTGGGACAAGAGAAGGATTAATCCTTGATCGATTGAGTAACATCATTCTATCAAGTCTAATCTATTGCTCTAATTTGAAGAAGATAAAGTAGAGGACTCTATATCCACTCATATTCCAGAGTTATTCTCTATGTAGGTTTAGGACAAAGGAAGCAAAAGGTTGGTATGGTTCTCTTGCATTTCCTGGAACCCCTTTGGGCAGGAGTTTCTCCTTTCCCACTAGGAGAAGAAAATGAAGAAGAGGATCAGCTTAGCAACAGAGCCTCTTGAGAAAAGCAATTTGGAGCCTGGAGGGGAAAAAAAAAAGGAAATGTAAAATAATTATGATTGGGGAGGGAGGTAGAAAAGGAAAACTGAACCTGCCCATGGCTTACATGTCAAAAGTTACAGAGATAAATCAATCCTATTTCCTCGTCAGTCAAACAAAATCATGTCACTTCTCTTCAAAGCGAGATGCTAAACTTGGCTATAATAATCAACGCTAGCCTGCCTGCTCTTCCATTATTGGAATAGGAATTACGTTCTGCTTACAATTTCGATTTCACATTCTCATAACCATCCTGATGTCCACTTTCCTCCTTTATAGAAGTAGGTGAATAGCTTATAATGTATTCCTTTCCCCATTCTTGGAACAAAGTCCTCATGTGCCAATTCAGACTTTAGCACTGGAGATAATGCTGTTGTCGATTCAAAAATGCACATGGAAGAAATGGGACAAACAATCCCTCTGAAAGTATCCAAGCATAAGAGCTACTGTCTGACACAAGAGCAGAGGTTGGAAAGCTCTATCCCAACATCTCAGGTTTTCTTAAGACAAAAATGTAGCGATGTGGCAAGAAATTCAAATAATGGGGGCAGGTTCATTTAATTTAGAACCCTGTCAAACTTGAGTGCATATTTTAATTAGCTCTACAGTATTTACTGGTCATTAGGGGACCAGTATATCCCCCCATTTCTATTTTCTTGGGCTTGTAATGTCTTCTCTGAGCATCTTCTGAGGACAAAAATTCTCACTAAACAAATGAGCAGTGCCTGGAGGTTGATCTAATGGAGCTGATGCACGAATCCTATAAATTTTCCTCAATATATCCTCCCCTTTGGAAATAGCCAAATGCGGAGAAGCAAAGGGGATTTTTTCTCAAAGGCACTTTCCTGTTCTGCCTTTGTCAACTGAGTGAATTATTTAGCAGCTTGAAGACACAGACAAAAAGGAATCACCCTTTCACTAATTTAGAAAACTGTTAACTAGAGTTACTTGGACTGTTGGTGCTTTTGTCTCATCTTCAGAGTCAGAATCATCACTTGAATCCTTGTTTGTGCTCACCGCCTTCTTTAAAGCTAAAATATAGAAAAGAGGATTTGATGCCAAAGGAGATAACTTTTTAAAAATATTCAGCATTTATAGCTACCAATACTAAATTATAGGATATCCCTTTATCCCAGGGGTGTCAAACTCAAGGCCCGGGGGCCGGATTTGGCCCGTGGGCTGCTTAAATCTGGCCCATAGGGCCATTCTGGAAACAGCAAGGGACTGGCCTGCAGTGCCTCTGCCAGTGAAAACGGAGCTCAGGAGAGCTGTGTGCGGCTCTCCCAAACTTTATTTTTGCTGGCAGAAGGTTGCAAGAGGCCGTTGCAGCTGGAAATAGAGCTCAGGAACTCGTTTTTGCTGGCCGAGTGCTTGGGCCAACCCGGCCCCCAGAGGTCAAACACAACCCTGATGTGGCCCTCAATGAAATCAAGTTTGACACTCCTGCTTTATCCTATTGTCATCTTTGTTGTTCCACATATCAAGTTTTAAAATATTACTAGAAATTTGGAAGTGGGGCCAATCCATTCCTAACATCACCAAACACAGTAACCAGAAGTAGATTCAGCATCTAAGGTTCTTGCATCGTAACAGGTATGTTCTGCTACCTCTGCAAAAGATGCTGAAGCACAAAAAAAAAGTTTCTATGACACTGCAAAGATACCCATCAATCCTTATCCACATATTCAGAACACAATGATCACATGTTAGACGCCACAAAATCACACACCATCATGACAAGCTTCCTTTTAGCTCAAGAAGTTGTTTTGAGTCCCAAATTTGTAGAAAAACTCTAATGTCTGTTTTTCTTGAAGTGCAGTCTTTACAGATAGCATCTGGATTGGCATAAAAAGAAACGGATTTTTGCCAGCTCAGTATAGAGATGTTATGCTGCATAAACACCCATCCTATAGGTCATTTACGGCAGGCTCCCTGATTCTAGTTCCAAAAATTCCAGTAACCCTATCAAGCCTTTCTGAAGGATACTGTTTGGGCAAGGAAATCTTACAGATACTTTTGTAACTGGCAATGGGAATGTTCTCCTTGACAGTGAGTTTAGAACTTTTTTTCAGCTTTGAGTAAGAACTTTGAGATTACCTGAGTGAGGCAGAGCCATAAAACTACTGTAGCAGATCTTCCCTGTTATCGGTAAGACAATAAAGATGAGACCCTTCTGCAAATTTAGAGCACTATCTATGCAATACCACAATGAGCATCTTAAGCCATATACTTACTTGGTTTGGAAGGTGGGGCTTTTGCTGTGGTCAAAGTTGTTTCTTCCTCACTCTCCGATGAGCTGCTATTGCTGCTGCTTTCAGAGGACTCTGCTGTCTTTGTGGTCTGTGTTGTTTTTTGTCCTCCTGAAATCAGTGACTGCGAAGGAGGTCCTGCTTTACTAGAAAGGCCTTTATTTGCCCCTGCTTTTCTCGCAGCTGGAGGCAGGGCCTTATTTGAAGCAGCTTTGTTCTGCTCTCCTTTTGCTTGGGCAGCAGCAACAGTCACCCCTTTTCCTGGGACAGAATTGGTATTCTGATTGGACGATTCAGTTTTTTTTCCAGCCACAGGGTTTTTCTCCTACAACAAGAAAAGTTGGTTAAAAGAGAAAGACATTCCAGGATATTTGTCAAATAATTTGTATAGATATTTCAGCATATCCTATGTTGAAAGAAACTTTTTGGCTCAAGGTTTCCCACAGATTTTATAATAACAATTGCATGCCAAATATGTGCTCTGGAGAGACCTCACAGTCTTCATTCCCAGTTCTAAATTGATGAGCACATCAATCAGGAGCAATCATCTCAACAGAGCACAAAACAATATCAGAAACGGCATGGGGGAGATACCTTGTCCCCAGCAGAACCTAGCAGCTTGTGTAATGGATGCTTCCCCGTCAATCATGATAGAGATCTGTACAGCAAAATGATGTTCACCCTTATTTAGGGGTATAAAAGTGGGATCTGGCCAACAATGGCACTCCCTTTGTGATCAGCAGAGGAGGCTGTTTCAGCCCTCCCACCCCCCCTTAAGTGGTGAGGGTTAAGGAAAAAACTGGACACCTTAAATCTTGCAAAGGCTGAAGACACCCAGATAATTTAGTATATTTCAGTATACTATACCCAGTATACTTTAAAATTATGAACTTTTTCCTTGTGTGTAGGTGTCTTTCTGTGTTCTGATACTTTATAGAACCGAATTAAAGACATCATTTTGAAGTCATATTGAAGACAACGTTTTCCAAGTAAACTTTCTTCTTTTTCTTAACCCTAAGATCAGCAATATATCATTTGCTACTGAGGCACCAGAATTTATCTGTAAAAAACAACTGAGACAAAGCAATCTACAGACTCGTTTTTGAAATGCAGGCAAGGATTTAGTCAAGAGTCACTTTTCTAGATTGCACCTGACAGCAGATTTTAAATATTTTCTAAGAACATAGTGTTTAAAATAAACAGACTCTTGGGCAGTCCTAATTGATCATCCTAGATACAGTCCTGATATTTTCCAGCAGAAGAGCAATAATCAAAGTCTTTTTGCTTACAGTCTTTTTGGCAACTGCTTCCTCTTCCTCTTCAGAAGATGAATCTGAATCTTCGCTGCTACTACTCTCTTCTTTAGTTACCGTCTTTGTTGGCTTGGTGCTGTTATTCACACTCAGATGAGCTGGAACACCCATATAAAAGCACAACATATTGAAAGACTGAAGGTAACTCCCCCCCCCCCCAACTTATATTACAACCAATTAGAATGGAAAAGATTCTATAATCATAATCATAGGGTTAGTGTTCATTGAAGAGGCTCTGCTCTCTACCTTTTCTATCAAAGGATAAATAACCACTGAGTGATAGGTAGGAAATAAAATATGCTGATTTTAAAAAGTTCCTTTTAAGCACCTGGTTGAAATGATTTGGTCCATGCTTATGAAAATGGACACAGTCTCAGTAATCTCAATTTAAGCCAATCTGTGCACAAGCTTTGTCAAATAGCAATAATACATGAAAGTATACTGCAGTTGTCCTGATTTAAATCTTCTCAAAGTTAATTATTATCTACTCTTGAATTCTCAGTTTTATTATTTCAGAGATGGGAAGTTGTGAAGAAATACAATAGACTTTCAACCAAGTATTGCAAGAAAAGGATTAACAAAAACAGTTGATCTCCATAATTAAAAATATGTTGCTTTATAATTATCAAATCTGTATCTTAACAATGGAAACTTTTAGATAATGATTTAAAAGTATTGCTCAAAGGCAAGTTCTATAGATAAGGTTGAAAAAAAGTCATGGATGAAATTTGAATTTTAAATACCTAAAGTGTCAAATCACAATTCTAATGAAACGGGAATGCTTACAGGATATAGAAATAAGTGTCACAAAGTTGTGGTGATGTAGTATTCCAAATATTGTGAATTTGTAATGTTGCCAGAATAACATATAAATGCATAAATAAATAAAAACTAAAATTTCCCTCTTGTTCCCAATCTCCTTCTGTATTACATTAATATGAGTAGAGGCTTATTTCACATTTTTAAGCATTTTTGGAGCTTATAGGGAATGAGGTACAATGTTCTTAAACAATAACAATGCTATTATGAACACACTAATGCTGCAGCCTTCCAACTTTCTTTGTTTCCACTAAGAAACCATAAGAAAGCAGGTTTTAAGATTTATGTATCTTTAGTTCAGCTTCTTGTAGTACTAATGAGACATCTACATCTCCCCTTTTCATGGACCTATCTTCTTCTCAAGGTCAATCATTTAAATACTTTTCTGAATGGTTCATTCTCGTTGGTTCTTACTTTGTATGGTTTGTGCTGCTTCCTCCTCCTCCTCCTCTGAGCTCTCAGAACTGCTCTTGGGGTCAGGAATTCTGAGCTTTGCTGGAATGCCTCTCTTTTGTTTCGGAAGTTGTGAGAAATCCCTGTTAGACAGATTTTATAAGGATGCTGAATTGGAGTTAATAAGGCTTGCTAAGATTCTCAAAATATATTCAATTGTGTGCCCCTCTTCAGAAGCACTTTCTTTATTGTGGGAGAAATAAAAGCTGGCATTTCTTTGCCTTACACAGACAGACAGACACACACACACACACACACACACACACACACACACACACACACACAAACCTGATCTGACTTGATACAGCTCGATCATTTTCTCAAGAAAATATAAGGCCAACAGACTTTAAATTTAATTTAATATTAAAAATATAATTAGAACTATACTCATACTATGCATGACCGTGAAATTACAATACAAAACTTAATTAAGTCCAGTAAAAATCTAAACTGCAATGGTCCTAGGATTTTCTTAAAGTATTTCTACGCATCATGTAAAAGTTTAAGCCATATCATATAGAAGAGAACAAACACAAAGGACAAAATGGCTTAGCTAAATGTAACATAGTTTTATATTCATATTGCTATTATAGTTCAATGCACTAGATTACCACGCTTTGTATTAATTTATTGTGTAAAAAGGATTATTCGGGTACCAATAGTTCCAAAAAGCTTTAGTTTTAGTGATATTATGAAGTAAGAAAGCTAATTTAAGTATCTGTCTTAATATAGTTGCAACTATAAGCAGCTTTTTTGAATAAGTTATTGACAACAAACACATTCTCTTCTTATACTGTTGTTTGAAACTAGTCCAAAACCCAGTACTGGATCTGTGATACACTATTCACAAGATCAGGATTGCTAAACCAAGTGCAAAAACAATTAAATAACAATTAAGTATAGCTATAATGTAGCAACAAGCAAATCATCTCTAACCACCCTCCAAAAATAATCAGAAAAGCTTACTTTTTCCACTGAGTGATGATCTCTCTCAGAGAAATATGAGTTGATGGGAAAGACGTCTGTACAGGAAGAAAAAACATTGGATCCGTATGATGAAATCATTTTATGATAGAATCTTTAGTACAAAAACTCTGGATTAAAGTTACAATTCTAAACATGAATCTATTAAGTAGAACTTTAGTCCTTAAAACAGAGGTGGGTAATTAATTTCCCCAAAGGCCATATAGGAAACTGGAACTGTTGTGGAGGACTGCCACAGCCTCCACTCCTGACCCCCACCATGGACTGAATTGGGATTGCCTATGGGCTAGATGTGGGCCTTAAAACACCCACATCTGTCTTAAAGGTATGCCTGGGATTTTTACAGTACCATCATAGGCAGTGTTATTTAGGAATAATGCCTGTTGATTTCAGTGGGGTGCAAAAAAAAAATATGCAATCAGCACATTGATTAATTTTACCAAAATAAATAGTGAATATTTACTGAAAACTTCCAGATAGCTTTGTCTCACCCAAGTTCCCAGATTTTTTTTTCCTCTGAAGCTTTAATATCCAGAGTAGAACATCCTCATTTCCCATCTTTTACTTTTCAACAACAACAAAAAAAGGTAAATGGTTGTTGGCTTCCTAATCTGTAATTTGAGGGGCCAAGTGAAAAGGCCAATCAATAGGGAGGAAATAGGTTAAAAGAACAATAGTAATAGGGTATTTGCCACCAAAGACTTAACTGAATGAAACAAGCTTACGTGTATGGCTCTTATAAAAGTAAACAACAATCTTTGTTTTTCTAGGAACAAAAATGTATTAAATTTGTGGGGTTTAAATGTCTCTCTTTATATCCTTCTAATGTAGGGGTAGGCAATAGTTGTCTACATGTTATGGATCACAACTCAAATAATCCCAAACCTATTTAAGATGATGGAATACAATACACCTGGAAAACCAAAATTTCTGCAACCTTGTGTCCTCAGATGTTTGAATATGGTTGTTGGTCATGTTCTTGGTATGTTAGAAGTTAAAATAATTCTACTCAAAATTGAGCAAAGCAGATGGGAATTGCTTCAAATTCTTTTTTTTTTTTTTAAATGAGTATATTGGTGAAAAAAGAGCATTTTACTAATTCCAAGACATTTTACAAGTGTATTTCTTTCAGTGGTCCCAAAACTCTCAATTTTCTGAGTTGACACAAAATTAAAATAAGGGAAAAAGGGTCTTCATATCTTTAGAATATCAAATAGTGAAATACCATGCTTACTGTAACATCACTGCTAATTAATAGATCAAAATGACTAATAAATGTTAAGTAGAGCAACAAGAAACACAAATTAGCAACATTGATAAATTAATTAAAATAGTTGATGACTATAAGCTATGACAATAATAGATATCCTTCTACAAATTCCTGATAACTGCTAATCACATTGCTGCAGGAAATGGTAATATTTTTAGCATACTTATTCTTCCTCACATTATAATTAAGTCTTTTTAGCAGTAGTTACAATTCTCTGCATGGCTATCTAATACAATTATTATTCAAGTACATATAGCTATGATGTTTAACCTATGTATGAATGAACTCTATATATCATTACATCATTATACTTGTCCATATAAATCTACATCTATAGGCAATATGCTCGTAAGTAACAAGTGTAAATCCATTGAGTGAAAGGGGCCATACATTTATCTTTCTAATGCTGTAACAGTTGGCAATAAGGACATGAAATTCCTTTATGTTGTCTGGTTCCCAAATTCCAAATATTAGATATGTCATTCAAAAAAGAATACTAGCATCTGAAAATTTTAGCTTTTGTTACTACAGTCTTATTTTGTTACACAGTCTTATTGATATAATTCAGTACTTTCTCCCAAACCTAGTATGTGCAAAAATATGTATTATCCTTATTCCATTCTCCAACAGAATGCTGTCATATATTTGACAAAGTTTTAACATCAAAAGACCTATAAATGCTTTATACTGCTCTATAGGAATTCATCTATTCCTGGAATTTTACACCTTGTCCAACATTTAAAAGCACTTTCTATGTGTCTTTTGTCTGTGTGTTGACAATGCATTTTTCTCTTTGTGTTTGGTTTTCTCATTTTTGTCACTATTTTAAACAGCAATAAAAGAATTTAAAATCTAATAAATTGTCAAAGAGCCCATAACTGAATCCAAGTTCATGTTGTTCCTCTTAACTACAATCAGAACAAAAAAGTTTCCATTAAAAGAACTCCCAAGAATATTGCAAGGTTCTGAAAGCTACTTGCTAATTCTCAACTCCCTGGCCCTCTATCTTAGCATCCTTACTGGAGCACATGAATTATGCTATGAGCAAATTGACAGCTGCAAGAATACTTTTTTTATTTGCCATAGAACACCCACATCTGTGGAGGAGCTAAATGCTATTTTTTGCAGAAACCCATCTCCCATGCAACCCTGAGTGGACAATGACAGCATCGAGGGAGAAGATGTGGGACCCACTGATGAGTGGCATTCATCTCAACATGCAAATTTCTTCTCAAAGTAATTTCTTGCTGGTCAAGATCTGCTGTAACCATGGCTTCAATCTAAATGCTTTACAAACATTGTAAATTACAGTTTATTCCATAAAATACACAGTACTTAAAGAGATCAATGGCTTGCACAATGTGTGATGTCACTCACCATTTTTAAGCCCATCCCACAAAGCAGAGCTGTGCACAATTCAAAAATGATCTCAAAGAAGTGCTTCAGATATTACTCATTAAAGTGAACTGGCAAGATCTTTTTCCCCCGTACACATAGAAGCCTAAAAACGTGGCTGACACAAAGTCTGAATTATTTTTCAGTATGCACAACTCCACTAGAAAATGGCTTTAGCAAGCAATTATGACTATATTATGACTCATTACACTTAAAGATAGCCTTTTTGCAGGTTGGGATTCTGATGCACAGCAGGTAATTGCGATCAACCCGTCCATACAATATAAAGATAAGAAAATGCTACCCTTTGCAGTAAGTGTTCAAAATAAAGACAAGATACAACAGATCTTCAACAGACAAGAAGATATACAAATATAAATGCATAGGAGTTGAGGACCTCAATAAAACTACTGAAATTATTAACCAGAATTTTCTGTGAACCAACCTCATGTTCTGACAGTGTTTAAAAATTACTGTATACCACAGTCAACTAATTTAAGCTATATAAATAATGTCCACAAGGCCACAATGTTTTCAAAAGAAACACTGCAATGTCTCATATGCCTATCACAATCAACTGCAACTAACTATTTTATCATCACTCTAAAGTTAAAATTTCAGCCTAAACCATCCTCACTATAAACAAAATTTAGAGTGGCTTCACAAAAGGCTAGAGAACCACTCTAAATTTTGGCCTGCTGTATGTGTGCATTTGCAGGTGTGCACACATATACACAGTCAAATTTAACATTATTAAGACTTTATATTTTGAGGCAGGGCTTGAGGCCCACCCTAATCCCTTTCTTCCTTTATGCTTTAAATGTATTTAATATTTGGAACTGATAAGATACTTTATGTCAAGCCAACTTCTATCAAGCTCTGTTACAGAGAAGAATCCTGATAGATGGCACTGTTTAATTAATGGAACCTGGAGTGCACCAATCCTGCCAGCCTGAGCTTTGTGGAACTATGGAGGTCAGACAGTCTCTCAAGTAAGCAAGCCCTAGGTAAAACCAGTACCTTGTAACCCATTCAGAAGCAAACTCACAACCAATGTATCTTGCAAGGCAGAAGTGTTACATGAGATCTGTCACAAGATTCCTTTCCAGTCCATCCAAGAGGACATTCATTTCAGCTCTCGAAATCATTGTAAACGGCCAGTTTCAGAGAATGCAACCTGTTCCACTTGCAACCTGGACCAACTGAATGAATGAATCCCTCCAGTTTAGAATTATGTGGCTTCCAATTTTTTTTTTTAAAAAAAGGGGAGTGGGGGTAGACACCATAAAGTAAGCCAAGGACCAGGGTGCCCTGTTTCAAAGATCCAGAGAAGCGACTGGCAGCCTCGTTATCAGACCAAAGGAGAAACCTTGCGAAGGGAAGGACCAGTTCCACTTGCAACCTGACCCGCAGCTGCCTTCCAACAATTTTCCCATGTTTCCAGCCACGTGGGCCACTGCGCTGTTACCTGGCCGCTCTGCTCCAGCAACTCCTCGGCGGCTCTCTTATAACCCATCTGGACCAACTGCTGGTGCATCAGAGCCAGCAGCTCTTTCTGCTCTCGCTCAGCTCTCGCCATGCTCTCGCCGCGCGCGTGCGGGAAGGGGACGCGGGAAGCAACCACCTCTATCCCACGGGCATGACTACCACCGCAGGCCCCTCGTGTAGAGCAGGCGGAAGACTAGCCACATGCCCCAAACTGCCTGCACCTTTACCCTTTTGCCCATGCACCAGCGCGTACGTCACTTCCTTTTCCCACCTATATTGGTCTTCGGGCTTCTGGGAAATGTAGTCTGTGCGCGAAAGGTTACTCGGTGTGCGTCCATTTCGGAGGTTTTTTGTTTTTGAAAACGAAACGGTGGCCGGAAAAAGGACCGGTCGGAGAGATTGGAAATAATTTAAGAAAGCTACATTTCTCCCTTGGTTAATGAGACCACTGCTTGGTTGAGACTCATATTTCAAACTTTGATGGGGGGATGGGGGGGTAGGGGGAATGAGCAATTGAAATAGCACGAGGACTCGAGTTATTTGGGAAGGCGTAAAATAACTTGGTATTTGTTTTCTGGAGTAACAGGAAGATCTCCTAATCTGAAATCTTAACTGGAATAATTCCCTTTCTACCTTGCATTACAATATTAATGTTATATCTTTAAATCTTGAATCGTTTTTTTCTCTGTAACTTTTTGTTATATCTTTTACAGTTTTTATTTATTAAATTTATATGCTGCCCATTTCACTGTCCACATACAGCATTGTTAGCAACAAGAGATTCAGATGAAAATTTGAATGAACAAATGTTGTACTGTACCAACCAACATTGGCTGAGCTCCAATATACTAAACTCACCAGTACTAAGTTCACACTAAACATTAATGGGTAAGTTTACATATCCTGCTAAAATGAAAACCAGACTAATCACATATTGAAGACATAACCGATTACCAGATTTGCAGAAATAAATGCAGCTACTGGTAGGGAGGAAGCCATCAGGGTTGGGATTCAATTTTTTGTAACAACCTGTTATGTGGGAGTGGCTTGGTCATACTTGGTGGTCATGTGACTGGGTGAGGCACCAAAATAACCCAGATGTCTCCTGCTGGAGATGGTGTTGACTAGGTGACCTCAGGTCCCTTCCAGCCCTGGATTGCTGTGCTGTTTCGAAGCATCCTCTGAAGCTGCATCTAGTGCCAGGATTTGTGGTCCTTCCTTCCTCTCCTTTTTCTCTCCCTCCCACCTCCTATCCATCCCTCCATCCATCCATCTATATCTCATTCACTTTCCCTTCCCTATCTCTCCCTTCCCTCCATCCCTCTTTCTTTTTCCTTTCCTCCCTTTCTTTCTCCCTTCCCTCACTCTTTCTTTCTTCTTTTCTCCCTTCCCTCCCTTTCTTTCTCTCCTTCCTCTTCCTTTTTCTTCCCCTCTTTCTTTCTTTCTTTCTTTCTTTCTTTCTTTCTTTCTTTCTTTCTTTCTTTCTTTCTTTCTTTCTTTCTTTCTTTTCTTTTCTTTTCTTTTCTTTTCTTTCTTTCTTTCTTTCTTTCTTTCTTTCTTTCTTTCTTTCTTTCTTTCTTTCTTTCTCTCTTTCTCTCTCTCTCTCTCTCTCTCTTTCTTTCTCCCTTCCCTCCCTCCCTCTTGCTTGTTTGCTTTCTCCCTTCCCTCCCTTTGTTTCTCCTTCCTCTTTCTTTCTCCCTTCTTCTTTCTTTCTTTCTTTCTTTCTTTCTTTCTTTCTTTCTTTCTTTCTTTCTTTCTTTCTTTCTTTCTTTCTTTCTTTCTTTCTCTCTCTCTCTATCTCTCTCTCTCTCTCTCTCTCTCTCTCTCTCTCTCTCCCTTCCTTCCCTCCCTTTCTTTCTCCCTTCCTCCCTTCCCTCCCTCTTTCTTTCTCTCTTTTCTTCCTTTCTTCCTCCCTTGAAGGCTTACTTTCTCCCCCCCCCCCGGCCTTGTTTAGGGCCCAGAAAGCCTCCTGGCAGCCAAAACAGACTCCCCCCCCCC